GTCCTTAAATAAACCTTCTGCTTTACTGGCTGGGTGAGAGGCACAGGGTATTTCAGGAAGAGGGGGGGCGGGCCCTGACTCCCCCACACTCCGTGACACCTGGCCCCCTAGACTCCTTCCCCAGAGCCAGGGACAGAACCCAGGAGTCCTGGCTCCTGGCCCCCTGGATTCCCTCCCCAGAGCCGGGGATAGAACCCAGGAGTCCTGGCTCCTGGACCCCTAAACCCCCTCCCCGAGCTGGGGATAGAACCCAGGAGTCCTGGCCCCCTAGACTCCCTCCCCAGAGCCACGGACAGAACCCAGGAGTCCTGGCCCCCAGCCCCCTGCTCTAACCACCTGCTTGGAGCACTGGGGATTTGAGGGGCAGCACTAGCTCTGGGGAGCGTTGAGTGGGGGGAACTGATTGGCAGACCCTGCAGATGTGCCCCCCAGCCCAGTCCCCAGGCATGTGACATTTTGAGACCCCCCCCCCACATCCCCCACCCAGCGCTCCTTCCCCTGCACCCTGGGCTGAAGTGCCAGCCCCACCTCTATCACTCACCCCAGGGGGCAGAACGCTCGTGTCAGACAAGCAGGGCTCAGGCCTGGTACCCGTGGCCACCGCACCCGGGCACATGCCTGCAGCATGGAGGGACCCGGGGCAGCTGCTGGGCTCCAACTGCCCTGTCTTGGGGGGAGGCGGGGCTTTCTATCTCCTCCCCCCATGCACCCCACCCCTCACTTTGCTCCCCCAGTGCTGGCGTGCCCCGGTCAGCTCGGGCCTGGTTCAAGTCGACACCACAGGACCTACGGCAGGGGCAGCGTTCCACCTGGGCTCTGGCAGCGGCATTGAAACCCAGGGGCTAAGCCTGGCCTGGCCTCCGCCCACCGCAGAACCCACAGGCGATGCTCCGGACGGGTGATGCCCCGGACGGGCGGGTTTGACCTGCCCTCATGGAGGCACCGGCCTGGGCCCCAGGAGACTGGAGGCAGCTCCCAGCAGGAGCCTGGCCAAGGCCTTCGGGCTCATCCACACTATTAACAGCCCTGGCACCGTCATCCCTGCAGCAGTACGGCCCCACTGCCCACACCACCACCGCTCTACCCCAGAAACCGAGCAGGGACTGGTGCCCATCTGTACCGCCCAGCTCCTGAGCCCCGAATCCCGGGCAGGGCAGGGGCCGTCTCCCCCCACGGCTGTGTTCTCGGGACACGTGGGTGGAGTTTCCATTTACCCACCACCACCTGGCACCCGCTCTACCCACTGCTGCCCCCCGAGAGCGCAGCCTCGCCCCCACTCGTGCCGCTCCGAAACGTCCGGCCTGTCCTGCCGCAGGGCTCCGGCTCGGATGGGGGCCCAGCACGCGGGGGGCTGAGGCTGCGTGGCTGGAGGGTGCAGGGGGGTTGCAGCCAGCAAGGGGGGTGACCGGGCTGGAGGAGTGCGAATGGCCGAACCTGCAGGGCCCCTCCCCGGGGCTCAGGATCACACCGTCAATATGCAGCAGAGCTGGCGGGGCAGAACCCAGGCGTCCTGCACCGGGGCCCCTCTCTCTTCCAGAGCCCCAGGGCCAGCTGCCAGGCCCTGTGCCCCCCCCCCGGCCCAGCGCGGGGGCGAGGATTCAGTGCCTGCCCCACTTGTTTCAAATCAGAGTGTGGAACGGGCACAATCCGCCTCCCCCAGCCAGGATTAGAGCTAATGGGATTTACCATTTAGCCAATATCCCCTTAAATACAGGACCAGGGGGAGTGCGGGGGGGGGGGGGGGGGGGGGGGGG